CGCCAAACTTACAAAATTTGTGCAAAAAAAAAACAGTAAAATAGTTATGTTCTGTTATTTCATAACACGTTGAATACTTGTAAACACTAATTATACGTATGTTTGACACTTAAAGGCCCATTATGCGCTAATTAAAATGGTTTATTTTTCCTTTTTCATTAGCTTTTTGTTTTGTTGTCATATTATAATCTCGTTGGCTAATTACTTGAACAATGTTTTGTTAGCAATTCGTACAGATTTAGTGATTTAGCATTTTGTAAGGATCGAACTAAAAATAATCTAAATAGTTTACATTTTGTTACTTTTTGGACAAATAATTTCATATTCAGCGATAATTTCTTTAGGAGATAAGCACATATAGCACATGCAAAAATCATTATTTAAATGATTAAACTAATATTTGCCCTATCTTTAGAAGGAAAAATGTATTCTACCGTTTCTGATACATAATGTGTCGTTTAATAAGAACAAAAAATTACTAGCTGAAGACCGAAATGTTCGACAGTCTTTACGATCATGTTCACCTATTGCATGATGTTCATACTAAGATTTTAACAGACTGTCAAGTATTGAGTATATGTAGAAAGGTCCGGTTTCTGGTATTTCATATGCAATAAAAATAATGAAAATATCCTGAAACTTTTTATAAATTAATTGTGTCAGTGTGATAGAGTATCATGTAGCCGTTATTTAATTTGAAATTGAATACATGTATAGAATAGTTTATTAAAGGAACTCCGTCGAGGTCCAAAAGCCTAAATCATAAAGTTTGAATTTCTTATATAGATCAATCGGGGCATATGCCAAAGATAATTAAAAATATACTCAGAAATAAATTGAAAATCTTATTTTTGCGCGACTCTTTGTCCGATTTAAGCGAAAAGATTTAATTACAATTTCGGTCATTTTTCTCGATCAGAATAATTATTCTAACAATAATAATTAAGATAATTATTTTGGAAAAAGAAAGAGAGAGACAGCGAATGATCTGAAATTTTGCGCGTATATAGGTAAGTTATTGGTCTAGACCTATATCAAATGGAACGTACATTAATTTCAAAAAAAAATTTCCAGTTCCATCATGTCAAAAAACCTCAGTGAAGTCCCTCTACAACATTATAGTTTATTGATCCTGAAAATCACTGACGAGTGTCATAAGAACAAAGTAAACATGTACTTTCACTATTTTATGGTGTAGTCATACACTTATAGGAACGAGAAGATCAACGCGAACGTGCACTCATAATTCCATAACAAGCGTGCACGAGTATTCGCAGAAACAGGGTGGTCAACATGTACAAGCTCTTGCGATATCCTGCAAACTTAGGAACGGATGATACCTACATGTATACTACGTACGTACACTTACACTTAGTAGTATCCTGCGCTGGGAAGCCACGACGATATATGGTATCGTTTGCACATAGGACCATGGAAGATCAGCATGTACATCCGCGACTTCATGGTTTTGTATGCCCATGTTCAATCATGAATGTATGGTATCGTTTTCACATAGGAACGGGAAAGCCAACATGTACACTCACTACTTCATGGGAACAGAGTAGGCCAACATGTCTTACACCCATGTGTATGTTATCGTGCACTATAGAAGTTTAATATGTACACCAGGTACTTTAATTATAGTATCGTGTACACACAAACATATCAGCCAATATACTAGTATACACTCACGACTTTGGTATTGTGCATGCAACGAAAAAAGGCCAACATGTACGCTCAAACGCAGGAACAGAAAGGCCACCATTTTAGGCTAACTATTTTATTCAGGCATGCGCACGTAGGAACAGGGCGGCCAAACATGTACACTTAGGGACCAGGAAAGCCAACATGCGCACATATATAGGAACAGGGCGGCCAATATGTACACTTACGACCAGGAAAGCCAACATGCGCACATATATAGGAACAGGGCGGCCAATATGTACACTTAGGGACCAGGAAAGCCAACATGCGCACAATTATAGGAACAGGGCGGCCAATATGTACACTTACGACCAGGAAAGCCAACATGCGCACTTATGAAAAGGACGGGCACCATGTACACTTAAGAACAGGACGGCCAACATGTACACTTAAGAACAGGACGGCCAATATATACACTGAGGAAGAGGAAAGCCAACATGTACACTCTTGGCTTGCGCTCACATTGAGACAGGGATGTTAACATGCATACTCAAAACTTATATAGTATCGTGCATGCATTGAAACCTCATTATATAAATAGCTATTGCACAAGATTTCCGTCAACCTAGAGAGCTATATACGCATGCACTTTCTTGTGTAAAAAGTGATTTGACCAATATTGCATTAAAACATAGATTATATGTCATTTTTCGTTTTAATAAATCGCATTCATTAAATGCTACTGATAGTGTGCACGACATCATCGAAGAAAATGGTCACCATGACAAAGGCATGAACTACAAAATGAGGTATTTTTGCCAGGCTTAAATTTCGCAAAATCAAAATTTCTGGGTTTTGGGCGAGGTAAGATATCCTCGAATTTCCACTTTTAGTTCTTTTATATTTGAATGTTCTAGTAAATCTTCAATTCGCTTAATTTAAACCCCCGCGGAATTTTCTAGTGTAACTATCCGGGGTCTTAACTCTCGTTTATTATCGTCGCCACATGTTTCCGCGAAAAACATTTTCCTAACAACTTAGTACATATAATACGTTATTTTACGGGTATCAACGGGTGCTCATTCCATTTAATTAATTCTAAATTAAACATTTTTCATATAACTTAAGGGTTTTGTTCGATATTTACATGTAGCTCTTTTATCTTACAAACGTACTCGTGCATTTCAAATCAGAGGCGTTAAAATCATGGTGAATATATTATGAGATATGGATGCATGCTGTATTTGTACATAATCAGATACTTGAATGCATTTAGCCCACGCATAAACTGATTTAAACAATGCAGTGAATTTGCTATAATAACAATATTTATGTCCAATTATTCATAAAAGAGTGAAGGTGTCACGGAACTTAGCGTGTTTCACGCCACGTACGTGTCAATGTTTCGTGTTGAACGCATGTTAACAGATGAATTAGCCTACCTTTTTGACAAGAACACGGGGTACTGACTATACAAGACACATCGAATCATGACACGGACAAAATCCATGATCTGGACAGCATTGAGTGAGTTCATCAGCCATGAATGCTTTCCTATCATGAATATGTTATCTTAATCATGAGCGGCTTTTTATAGAGGGGGTAAATGGCACGGTCACCCATCCCCTCCACGGGATATACAACCCTCTAATCCTCGTCAAAAGTGTGTGAACCCCGTCAGGTAAAAAATCCTGGATACGCACCTGTTAATCCTTATTGTCGAGTACGTATATAACCAAGCTTACCTACATGTAGCTGCACGATGAATCTGTGCAGTCTGGTCAGGCTCTATACTATCGGTTAAAGATCAATTGGGCCCCAGATATGCTTTTACGTACATGTATTTTTATTTCTCAAAACCTTTTTATTTTTGGTGTATTTTTATAGTCTCATAAAATATTACTCATTAACCAATTTCCTGAACATTCTTTTTCTGTTGCTTTTTTTAGTATAAGGTTATGTACAGTGATTTACTATTTTGTATGGAAGTCAAAATACTAATTTGTTTACATTTTGATTCTTTTATGACAAATAATGGCACATTTAGTGCGACTTTCTTCAGGTTAACTTGCTTTAAATCTATTATTTAAACCTTATCAAATTCATTCAGAAGATAAATAATTTTGTGTCTGCTTTAACATGTTAACACACAATAAATCAAAAGAAAACTTGTATTTATTATTCACCATTTGCAATGATTTGAATTAGGGATTAATTAAACAAACAGCTAGGTTAACATCTGCGACCGATTAATCATTTAAAACCGTTTTAAAGCAAGTATCCGTACATGGCTATCATCTAATTTTTATTATGCGACATTGTATTTTTTCATTGGACACGAAGCCGGCACTTGAATCAGGGTCTCATGAATTACATCACACATAACATTACAATATGAAACGTCACAAAGTGGTTTTGTTCTCCTCTTTTCAATTAACTTATAGAACTATAAATAAATTCTAATCATTCGTTTTGCCATACTTTTTTGTCAGTGAGCACATAAAAGAGTGTACGTACGTTAATTGCTCCAGATTCATGCTAATTTTCTTTTTACATCAAATGGTACATTTACCTGGAAAAAATATTTTCAGTCCCATCATGTCAAGAAACCTCAGTGGAGTCCCTTAATGGGACTGAAAATATTTTTTTCCAGATTAATGTACCATTTGATGTAGGTTTAGACCACTAATCTTTGTGCAAAGTTTCAGATCATTCGCGCGCATCTTTTTTCCAGAATAATTATTCAAATTGTAAAATATGACCCAAAAACGAAAAGCGTTAAAACACTTTTCATTCAAATCGAGCTATGAAAAGCATAAAAATACGATTTTCAATTTATTTCAAAGTATATTTCTTAACTATCTTTGCATACATTTCTGTTTAAAGTGCCTCAGCTCATTCATGTAAGAAATTCAAATGTTATGTTTTTAGGCTTTTAAACCTCAGTGGAGTCCCTTTAAGAGTGAACGGCCTTACACATAATTATGTTTGTTGATAAAAATGTCTTTTTATAAACAGTTACCTGTTAAAATCATATTTTTGTTAACGAATGCTAGTTATGCCTGTATATTAAATTTATTATTTACATGTGACAGAAACATAAACATTTACGCAAATCGGGTCAAACAATATGAAAGTAAATGACCTACTATTTTTTAAGGGAGTATCTCAAGACATTTATTGATTTATGTTTTCTGAACTTTAACCAATATACTTAAGACTTTTACGTACACACCATTTTCATTTACCAATATTGTAACAATAGAAAGAGATAAAGTGAAAAAGTATGTAGTAAAACCATATGATAAAATAATAATTAAGAATGAATTACTCGCTCCCCACCAAAATGTATCAACCAATCAGAAATTAATGGCGAACAGGTCACGTGCTCAGATTTCGTGGCGTGCTAGCTGCTGATTTCGGCAGCCAAACCGGGCTGAGGCATAGTGAAAGACGGACGGAATTTACGCGATTTTCACCGTAAGGAGGCCTTTTGGGCTTCCGGAATCGATCTGGAAATAAGCATTAAGGCTTAAGCTTTAAGATGACAATAATATTGTTTCTTGTAGACACCAGTGCGTCTATGAATCAGCGCACATACTTAGGAACCTCTTTGATCGACATAGCGAAAGCATCAGTCGAGAATTTTATGAAGGTAAATAAACATAAAAGGCATAGTTTTCGATTGACATGTTAGTTTGTGATATGACAAAGAAATCTGACTCATAATTTTGCATTTTATTTATTCTTTAGATAAGAGCTCGCGATCCAAACAGTCGGTGGGACAGGTACATGCTTTTGACTTTGGAGGATCCCCCGTCAAATATCAAGGTATTTTCACTTTATTCAAGTCCGATCAGCAAAACTATGCCATCATATCGGTTGAAAATTTATTCATTCACATAATCCGACACGGTTTCAAGCGTTTGGTCGAATGTAACACACAGAAATCGCCACAAAAATCACAGCGAAGTCCAACGTACGTCCATTCGCCATTGCTTTCTCCGTGTTGGTAGTGCATTGTGGGAAAAATTTCAATAAGTTACTATAAATAAATCGACCTTCCTAATTTGCATATATATGTAGGTCAATTTGTGTATCACAAAGAAATCAAAGTACTTGACGTATCATTATTTACCCTGCAGCACGAGATGCATATTACTCAATTAACTGGTTATTATTTTTATTTCAGAAAATAGATATATAAAAATAAAGCCATTGAATACATATCTATATGAAGAAAATACTAGAAATTGCAGTTAAAGAATAAAAAGAGGAGAATAATAATAAAAAAAAAATTTCAAGTTTTTTTTTTAAATTTCTATAATTAAAACACAGTCAGATATAAAATTCAAAAATGTACAAACATTCTATGAAAAATCTGGCTTGTCAATTTAAAATGGTGACAAGTAATGAAAGTTTTTTTTAAACCTTTCTTTCCGACAAGTATTTTATGGATGGTAACATTCATGTGTAATATATACTGTAAATGAACTGATGATAGTGAAATGCTCACTGATTAATTTGACAGATGTTGACTGTTGTTCTGTCTAATATGATTTTAATTTATTTTTATTTTGACTTGTTTGAAATGAAAAAAAAAACTGAAAAAAAAAAAATAAAAAAACAAAAACAAAACAAAAAACCAAACAATGTTAACTTCATGTCAGTTCAGTTACAATTTATTATTTAGGTAGTATAAAGACTGAAGTTAATATTTGAAAGAGTTAATATAAACTATTGTTCAGTTTTAAGCAATTTATTTTGGAAATTTGCCAATTTTCAATTTTTCAAATTTAATAATATAAAAATGTATAATCATTACTATGTTGGTGACTTGTGTTGTGATTTGAAACCAGTCTCCCCCCAACCCCCCCCCCCCCCCAAAAAAAAAAAAAATTATCAACAGTTACATCATGTGTTGCAGTGTTGCAACATATTTTAAGACTTATATTTGTTTTACAGGCAGGTTGGAAGGAGAATCATGCAACATTCACTGCTGAGTTGAAGAATCTGACAGCAGCTGGGATAACCTCTATGGGAAATGCAATGAAAAGTTGTTTTGATTTGCTCAATGTTAATCGAATGCAATCTGGAATTGACACATATGGGCAGGTAATAAAACTGTGTGTAAATAAAGTAGTAAAAGGCAACAACAATACCAACAACACAACCACTTATAACATGACATATAAACAATATATTTTTTAAACAGTATAACACACTTTGTATCTAGGTCTTGTTGTAATATGCTGTGAAGTTTAAAATGTCAACTTGAAATAATAGTTTGGTTTTTGTAAAATTGTAATACATTAAAGTGTTACATTTTTGTTTGTAATGGGGCATATTGTGTCTTTCACAGCTTTTCTAAGTAGATGCTTACATAAAATTCGATGGTTTTGGATATAAATGAATAAAATTGCAAGAAGCCTTCTAACAATATATTTAGTCACATCAATGGAACCCAACACAGTGTTGTGATAGTGTAAAAAGGTAATTCTAGAGAAAAAAAATAGTTTATATATAATATATAAATATAAAAAAGGTATATATATTTTTATCTAGAATTACCGTTTTACACTATCCCAACACTGTGCAGGGTCCCTTTGAGTCACATAGGTCACAATCAGACACAGTGTTAATTCAATTTTATATTGAATACATCAAAACCTGTCGAGCATATCAAAAACCTATATGATGATTTTAAAGGGGAGATAATCATAGTTACCAACCTTAACTAACTATATTATTAAACATAGGAAACAATAATAAACCCAGGAAACAATGATTATATTAATAGTAACAAAAAAACTCCTGTCTGTATTGATAATGAAAACATTTTATGTATACAAAACAAAATATATACAATGCATGAACATTGCAATGCTTTGATACAGTTTTAATTATGTTTTTTTTTGCATTTGTTTGAACTTACTGAGCATTGAATGTTGTTATTTACTTGCAGGGAAGATGTCCTCACTATTTAGAACCTGCAGTGATCATTACACTTACTGATGGTGGAAAACTTACCTCTTTTAGTGGTGTTCAGCCAGAGGTAATTTCTACAATAGTAAAAAAAATAATAAAGTGGATGATTATGGTCCTCTATGGCCCTTAATTTAGTTTAAGTTCTCTCTTACAAAATCCAGTTTGTAGTTGAAATGTTAAGGTATAGGGTTAAATATGTGTTTGTAAGCACCAAGTTTACAAAAAAAAAACAAAAAAAAACTTAAAAATATTCAGCAAAATTTAGCCTATATGGCATATAGCATTATGGTATAGTAGAAGCTTATCTTGGTCATTTGATTCTATTATTGTCAGTTGATATGAGTAAAATATTTGCAACCTCGCAGGCATAAATCTGGTTGTAAATGAAATGTATTTTATAAGAAAAAACAAAAAAGGAAGACTTTATGCTATTGCAAATAAAACAAAATGCAAAAAAACTTAAAATATCAAGAAAATTTAACATGTAAAGATTAAAAATTATACAAAATTATACTTTAATTTCAGTTGAATATTCCCATGAACACATCTTGCGTCCCTGGTCATGAGTTGACAAAGGAACCGTTCCGATGGGATCAACGAATATTTGGCCTTGTAATGAGGTTACCTGGCAGCGTGCCAATTGATCTTAGTAGTAATACATTTATCCCATCAGCAGATAATCATCCACTAGATCTGATGTGTGAAGTTACAGGAGGTAATAAAACTGTGCATAAACTGAGTAGTAGTGAAAGGCTGTTAATATTCACAATGTATCTATTAGGTCTTGCATTATGTTGTACAATTATTTTCAACATGAAGATACATGCATGATGTTTTTATAACATTATGAATCAGAACATGCATTCCCTCATTGATAAATTCTTTAAGCCAAATTTTGGTTGTTTCATATGAAATTTTATCAGAATATCATAAGATGGGTGAGATTTTTTTCACAGGTTGGGAAAGGATCCATTTCCTTAAATTTCGAGAAAAATAACACAGTATCCTGCTAAAAGGAACTTCATGTAAAGTGAATATGGGAAAACTGCCTGATTTTAAAGAATTTTTATGCCCCCACAGAGTGGGAGCATATAGCGTTGCACTTGTCCGTCCGAGTGTCAGTCAGTCCAGATGTCCGTCAGTCCGTCCGTACGTCCCGAAATCTTGTGAACGCAACTCCTCTTAAACCGACAAATGGCAGATTTTGCTTAAACTTACAGGGATGAACAACCTTAATGTGTAGATGGAAGTAAAGGAAGGAATTTTCACTGCGACCAAATTTAACAGAATTATGGCCCTTTGTTGATTTTTTCACTAGATATTATGAAGAAATTTTGTGAACGCAACTCCTCTTAAACTGCATGGCAGATTTTGCTCAAACTTACAGGGATGAACAACCTTAATATGTAGATGGTAGTAAAGGAAGGAATTTTTGCTGCGACCAAATTTAACAGAATTATGGCCCTTTGTTGATTTTTTCACTATATACTATGTAGAAATTTTGTGAACGCAACTCCTCTTAAACCGGATGGCAGATTTTGCTTAAACTTACAGGGATGAACAACCTTAAGGTGAAGATGGTAGTTAAGGAAGGAATTTTCGCTGCGACCAAACTTTACAGAATTATGGCCCTTTGTTGATTTTTTCACTATATTCTATATAGAAATTTTGTGAATGCAACTCCTCTTAAACCGGATGGCAGATTTTGCTTAAACTTCCAAGGATGAACAACCTTTATGTGTAGATGGCAGTAAAGGAAGGAATTTTTGCTGCAACCAAATTTAACAGAATTATGGCCCTTTGTTCTTTTTTTCATTATATACTATGTAGAAATTTTGTGAATGCAACTCCTCTTAAACCAGATGGCAGATTTTGCTTAAACTTCCAGGGATTAACAACCTTAATGTGTAGATGGTAGTAAAGGTAGGAATTTTTGCTGAAACCAAATTTAACAGAATTATGGCCCTTTGTTGATTTTTAGTTTTCAACTTGTGGCACATGTAGTCCAAAAAATATTTGACCTAGAGTCATAAGATTGACAGAACAGTGGTGTGTTAGGGCATCCGTGTCCTATGGACACATTTCTAGTTTCATAGGAGATGCAGGACATAAATGGCCTTTGTTGTAGAAGGAAAAAAGGCCCTGTTTGGCAACCAAATCCAATAGCCACTTTATAATTGCTGAAGCTTACAGCTAATGGTAGTTAAAAGTTTTCTTATAATTCTTATTATCTTTATTTAGGCATGATGTCTAATTCATTTACCAGCAGTATTGTTACGATGCTTCCATATTGACATGTTATTTTTTTGGTTCACTAATTTTCTGATCTTGACAATTTTCAGACGTATCCTCTGAATGACATTTAAGTATTGGTTTATTTGTGTAAGTTTTCATACTCGTGTAAAATTTAAATGATTGAAATGTGTTTCTTTTACAGGTCGTTCATATGCAGTTTATAATCAAAAGATGTTAAATGCAGCAATAGAAAGTCTTGTGTCTAAAGTACAAAATGGCGTAGTAATACAATTTGAAAAAATAGGTCCTGATCCACCATTGTTGCCAAATGAACTAAACAAGCTGGAGAACGAGAGTATGAAAGGTGAGTATTGTAAAGAATAGGCCTATCTTAGCTTGTTTAATCAAACAATAGTCTGGCTGTCCTACTTGCTTGCAATGCATGTCAGTGTAACACTTTACGTTTTGCTGCAACTTATATTTCAAAATCCACAAGTAGGACTTGTCTTTGGTTAAGGTCAATGATGTAAAACTACTTGCCCCTCACGACTGTGGGTTTAAATCCTGCCAGGATGTTTTTGAATTCTTATATGTGAGAAAACTATCAAGTTACATTTTGTAGCTTACAGAAGATTGGTGGTTTACCCTGGTGCTGGGTCTTGCCTGAAATAATGAACAGAGGTGCACCTGGGGTCTTCACCAGTAAAGAGAGAAAGTAGCCATATGACCATAACAGTGTTGATATAGGAAAAGAAACATAGCATCTTTTCAGGGTCTTATTTGTATGTTTTTGTTCAAGACCCAATACTCTTTAACAGGACTTTTAACTATATAATTGTTATAATTGTTTGTCATTTATAATATCCCTACCTGTACTTTGTTTACTGTCAAGGTGTATAAACATTGGAAAACTTACCTAACATTAAAGAGGACAAAAGTGGTTTTGTTTGATCAAATAATTTCTTGCCTTATAGAATATTTTCTGTTCATATAGAGAAATTAATCAAATGTTTCATTGGTTGAATAGATAAATTGTGTCTAATAAATTTGGCACAACCTGTCAAGTCTTCAATTCTGCTGGACATAAAGATTGTCACAAAAATTTTATTGTGTTTGCAAAATATTATATTGTTGCAATATTTAACATTCTATTTAATCTAAACAGCATTTCTTCATATGTTGTCTCAATATGTGTTTAGAAGTACTTTTTGCATTTTCTGAATTTTAAACAGTATTTCTGGCACTAATGTATCTTCCAAAACTTAATTAAAACACAATTCATTGTTTCAGAAAATCAAAGTATGAATGGTCAGATAATCAAAATGGAGGAGGAGCCAAAAGCTGCAGCCACACCCCCACCCTCCCATTTACCGGGAAACACAAGTTGGCATAACCTACGGCGTTTGATATTAGTACCACGGTCAGCGCAGAAAGGTTATTCTGTTGGTCACTGGCCAATACCAGAGTCTTTCTGGCCAGATAATACAAATCAAACTTTGGTGAGTAATGTTTGATTATTTGTATATACATGTTTGTATGCATGTTTTTAAAAAACATTTGAAGATTGCTTAATTATGAGAAATAGTTGAGAGTTTTTATGTTAAAAAGTGTAAAGGTTTTAACAAAAATTGACTTTTCTTAAAAATTGGTCTTGTAAGAGATGTAAAAGTGTGTTCCAAACACTTTCATTCTATATATAAATCAGGTAATTTGTTGAAGATTGACAGATTTATTTGTAGTTCTTTATAATTAAAATTTTAGAAGAAAAGTTTTAATTTGAAAGTAGTCATCTATATTTGAATTAAAACTTTGTATTTGTAAACTTAAGTTCAAGACAAGAATATAGCTAGTTATCAAGATAATATGTGATCATATTAATCTGCCTGTACCTTTAACCTCTGTAAAGCTTAATAGTTATACTAGTTATACTGAAAGGTATAAGTAACGGAAAGATCACAAAGTTCAATTTGGGAAGCATGCTTAATTTAAGTGCATTCATCTCCCTTTGAATAAACTTTTAAAACAACAACAACAACCATCAACTTTATGCAAGATCTGTAATGGACCTCTATTGAAATTGGGATAAGTCTTCATGAAGCCAGATGCCTCCTTTGAAATAAGGCCTTGAGGTTATTAAACTTTTTCCCGAGTTCAGTTTCAAATATCAGGGTTTTCATTGGTTAGTGTATTCTGTGGCAGTTTCAGACCGATCAGATACCAGAGACCTGAGTTTGAGCTTAGGGAAATTGTTTATAACCTTGGGCCAAGATCTGTTAATTAAACAAAGTTTATCTACTTATGAACGTGTTTATAAATGCAAGCTTTATACACTTATCTCCCTTATTAAAACTGAAGCAAACTCACAAGAACAATTATCTCCCTTTAATGAAAATTAAATTTAAGAAGAAATAGTTGTCTCCCTTTTAAATCAAATTTTTTGGGGAAGCATGATCACAGTAAGTGACAGGTTGTTGTTTCTACATGCAGAAAGAGACCCTCCTGATTTGGTAGAGAACCAGGTCATGAGTGAGGGCAACCAATCTTGAAAGACAATGTACATGCAGTTAGTGAGTCTAGATTTTAATACAAACTTCTTTTTTTGTGGTGAAAAAGAAAAGAAAAGAAAAAGATTTTTTTTATGTGGAATGAATGACCTAAGCTATTTAGTGTTTATACATGAATTGAAAGCTGTAAGCTGTGATTTGGTCATTTGTTAATGACAGTTGATACTGAAATCATTGAATCGATTTGTATTAACAGACATTGTCTGGCTTTGTTCTGAAGTATACAAGTGTTTCTATACATTTGAGAGAACAAATCTTGCAAAGACCTTTGTTCATTGATATTACAAATGGCAAAATATAAGCAAAATTGTATAAACGGACTTGTCAAATATACAATCATTACTATTACTCTGTATATAGTAACATTTACCTTTCATAAGTAAGAAATTTAAAGAAATATGTTGAAAGATTTAAGCCTATGGAAATAATCTGCAATGATGTAATGAAATATTTGAAAGAACAGTCATAGGCATAACTTGCAGACGTTTGGAAAGTGTAGCATAGTCCAATTTATTATTTTGTAGCTGTTTGATTGATTAACCAATTTATGTTTTAAATTACTTTTGCAGGCACCAAGATCAGCGCATCCAAATGTTCAATTCTCGTGCAATCCCTGTGAGCCAATGGTTATAGACAATCTACCTTTTGATAAATACGAACTCGAACCCTCACCCCTTACGCAGTATATATTGGAGCGTAGACAACCAAATGTTTGCTGGCAGGTTTTTATAAGTAACAGTGCTAGATATAGTGAACTTGGACATCCTTTTGGATATATAAAAGCCAGTAGTACATTGTCTAGTGTCAATTTATTTGTGATGCCCTATAATTATCCAGTGTTATTACCATTGTTAGGTAAGTTGGGGTTCTTAGGGTTCAATTTGAAATTTGGTTTGATTTTGACTCTTTAGGTACCAATCATATGTTATTGTGCTGTTTCCATGAAATGTTATTTTTATGCCCTCCACATAGGGTAAGGGGTGTATATTTTTGCCATTGTCTGTCTGTCTGTCCCTATACTGACAAAACAGTGCAATTTTGGAGCATCTATGTCCTATGGACACATAATCTTTACATTTTCTTTTTTTTTGAAAATGCTCCTTTAATAAAAGGTTGAAGTATCAAGTTGAAAATTAAATTAATTTTTTATTTGAAATTACATATGTTCTATTTTATACTGTTTAAAACATAAATATATTGCTCTTCAAATACTTACTTTTCCAATTTCTATCTTTGTATCTTTGTTAATGACTACTACTTTTTGAACAGTTCTGTCAACAATTTCATTATAAAGTGCTTTTATAGGATACCAAAAATTGGTCTTAAACCTGATCCTTTGATGATAATTTTTCATTTTACTGATTAAAACTGACCTATAATAAATAATATGTTATTATTCTCAATATTTCAGATGAGTTATTTAAGGTTCACAAATTAAAGCCGTCCCCTCAGTGGAGACAGAGGTTTGATAACTATATTAAAACTATGCCAGGATACTATGCACAGGTTAGTTTAAACTTGTAACACCTTTTCAAATGCATTCTAACTTAACATGACCTGAGATTAGGATATTTTTCTTTTACACTTGTGATTTCTTTTTATGAAAAAAATAGCAACAAAAACACAACTTAAATGGCATCGGGCCTCTCGCTGCTTTTTGCCATTTTAGCCATTTAGTAAAACTTTGATTTTGCCACAGAAATTCTAGTTATCAAGTTTCTTAAGATACATGTACTGTAAAATCACAAAGTTGACTTAGAGAATTTGTTGTCCAGGGTAAACCTTGGCAGTGATTGTAATAATAAATTTTATTTGTATAATCTTCACAGGATGTGACATAAAACTCTACCAAAATAGTAAAACCTAGTGAAATGTTATTAATATTTTATGTTTAAACAGCCATTGAAGAGAGCGTTAGCTAGAATGGGAGCTCATAATCTAGTACCAGAGAACATGGACAATTGTCTTTCATATAGTGTGATCACCTATCTAAAGAAATTGAAAAATATGGTATGTACATGTATATTTTTATTTATGTTCAGAGTCAAACCAATCGTAAGCATGATACTCTAAGGTAAATAACCAGGATTTTTTAAAATAGATTTATATGTCTTATAAATAGATATCTAGAGATTCAATCTGGCATCTTGATAAACTAGCTAAAAATAGATTGTTAACAGTAGAAATTCTATTTCTGTTTTAATTGTTCAAATGTTTGAATAATTTCATTGTTTGAATGCAAAGAAAGAAAATTGTGTGTATTGATCTTTGCTTAGACTTCTCGTGTCATTTCCTAGTAAATCAAATACTGTCTCGTAGTTTAAAATATTGGTAGTCTGATAATGGTTCTGTTGCAAATGTGTATCGTTTTATCCAGATAGAATTGTCACAATCATTGTTAATGAATTGTAAAACAATTCAATTTCTGAAATATGCTGCATTAATATTATCACTTTGTGTTAAATGATGCTGCTGTATATTGTATTATTTGATTTGATAGTGCTTTTCATTCTCAATTGTGAAGGTATCGGGGATTCCCAGTGTTCGAAATTAGCAGTAGTCCTATAGCTTTTCACAGTAAAAAGCCCGACCAGGCTACTGTATTTTCAGAGGCAATATAAACAACTGTTTTGAACAAATGAATTGTGCTAGTAAACTGTTTTTAGGGCTAGTGAATATTCCAATCTGGTAGTCCGACCAGCCTAGTCGATTCAAATCCTAATTTCTTACACTGGATTCCTATATTTTGTACAAGGGTTTGAGCAGAAAATAGACTGGGGGTATCTATTGAGTTGATAAGGTTCAGTTCAGAGTTGAGTCCTACTAGGGTTGTTTTTTTGTTTTTTTTGTTAGGAGGCTATCCGCCTAGTTTAAGTTATATCTATTTTTCAGTCCGAAATAGTGCATGTACCTCGACCTGTAAAACTTGAAATTGTTACAGTGCCAGTTTGAAAAAAATTCATCCATAAAAAGAAGAAAGCAGATGAATACTAGTTGTTGACTTTGAAAATGTTTTGCTTATAAAATATACATGTATTTACTATTAAAACTACAGGTATATTGAAACTGATGATACATCTTGAATGGAGTTTTATACAGTCTCTTACACTACCCTGTAGAACCTTTGTATGAATAAAGTTCTTATCGAGAAGTTATCCATAACACTCTAGATTAATGTGTTATCATTTGTTACAGGCCAAGATGGAGATGGACAGATTAGTGGCATCTGTTGGTTCTAAAGTTCCGCCACACGAGGGTATTAAAGTTAGCTCAAGGTAAATGTTAAATTATCTCTGCACAAGGGCATTTAGGTTAGCTCTAGGTAAATGTTTAATACTCTCTGCACAAGGGCATTTAGGTTAGCTCTTTTTTTTCCAAGATGTGCTGATTTCACTTTAATTACACAGGTTTTATAATTATGCTACACAACTGGTTTTTCAAGTGTTACTGAAAAGTGGAATAGATAAAAAAATACTTTCCTTTTCTGGAAATCAAACATCTACGTTATAGTGAAATTGATGGCATGTTTAATCTACGTTATAGTGTAATTGATGGCATGTTTTGCTGTTCAAATGATGACCTTGAACTCACTTTTCGGTTTTTGTTCAATAACAGTTTCAATGGTGCTAATTTGCTATCATTATGGTTTTGTTTAACAGTTTAGCAAAAGTTTAACAATTTTTAATGCAAAATTTACTCATTTAATGTCACTAACAGTACATACCAATTTCCTTTAAAGTAATTTTAAGTGATATTGAATTTTCTTGAATTGGTTTTCCTCCTGTTTTATTCCAATTATATAAAATTAGTTCTATATTTTAATGTTCTTAACTTTGTCATTGTTTGTCACCTGATATGTTAATAAAATTATTTTTGTCCCTATTTTAGAACAAAGACATCTGTATTACAAAGAAAGGATTTTAGCCAATTACTGAAGAATGTTGGAGGGAATTTATCCAGCCTTAAACAGGAGCTTACAGATTACAACACATTTACTATAGCTGTACCTGATAGAGAAATTAAACCTCAACAATTTAGGTAAACTATTAAGCCTTAACCCTCACTGAATTTGTGTGCTAATGATTTTCCAAGCTTTAAAATCTGAACCTTCCATTAATTGAACTACCAACAGTACAGAGATTGGTCAGACTTGCTATTTTAGGATATTTTGCACAATAGAATTTATAATTCTGGAATAATGAGGTGAGGGAATGAATGATCTGAAAATTTGCATACAAATTATTTATTGTTTTAGATCTACATTAAATGGTTCACAAATCTTGGAAAATATTTCCAGACCTGTAATGTAAAAAAAAAACCAACCCTCAGTGGAGTCCCTTCACTCGAATATATATTTTAAATGCTCACTTAACTCTATAGGTTTTTTTTCTACTATCAAACTGCAGTTATTATTCTCTTCCAACTTTTGTTTGAAGTTTAATTTAGTGAGGCATTAGATCTTATTTACGAAAATAGAAAAGCATTTTGAATTAAGTCTTGATATAAAAGAAGTATCGTTTCACAAAGGAACACATATATTAATGTATTTCATTTTCCCAGAATACTGTTTCATTTCCAGGAATCCGTATGATATTCCGCGGAAGAGTTTATTGGATCAGATAGCTAGGATGAAAACCAATTTCCTACAGACATCATATACCAATAAAACAAAACTTTCAGACACTGGTAATTCTTTCATTGTTTACAATATGTACTAAAATAGAATACTGTTTAGTTTCAGTTAAGTTTTATGACCTCTGATTTTAAATTGGGATCTACATAAAATTGCAATGATGTTTTTTTTCCCCCCTCAATTTCTAGTAAAAGGCAGTCAAAAAATGGTAATTTGGTCATATAATTGTTTATATTTGATAATAAAATGCTTGCTTAATAGATTTGATTTTTTTAGAACATCTTTTTGGGAAATCATTGATTTGTGACTTTGGAGCATAGTTAAAGCCTTGTTTGGTCAGAAAATGAACCACAACTTTTGCATGATCCTTCTGTTATAGGTGTTAAATAAAGTATAGGAGTTCAATATAGCCAGAGCAAGTTGAATTGTTCTGATTTGGTGACTCCAAAAGGTGGAGAGTCTACATAGTTGAAGTCCATGCCTGAAATGCTGTATGGATGTGTATCTATTATCTTCTTTCCCCAGTAGAGCATGAATATTGTCATAAAAATCTATATAGTCACTTAAAAACCAAATGAAATTATGAGTAAAAATACTTTGTCTTGCAGATGAATTACATAGTGTGCCCATAGGGCAAATGGGTAATTACCAAGAATACCTCAAAAAAATATATAGTGAATCGCCGCCACTACGGCAGTTAGAAAATACACCAACTAGAGTCCATATGTTTGGAAATCCTTTCAAAGTTAACAAGGTATGTTTCTGTTATATTCATGATTGAGCAGTCTATTTTTTTTCAGATCTTTTGAGTGGTTGCTTGGCCAAGAGCTTAATGCGTCATACTAGTGATCTAAAGATTGCTGGTCATGCGGGTTCAAAACTCGTCGGTGGCAAGCCGTTGTTTCCTTGAGCAAGAAACTTGACATGCATTGCTTAGTACTGGTTGGTTCCAGGAATGGGTTTGGGATGTTCAATAAGCTTATAGCTTCCAACACAGTTGAACAGTATAAGATGCAAAAAGATGAGATTTTTTAAGATGACAAAAGAATTTTTATTTTGAAATTGAAAATTCCATTGCATATAGACAGCAATATGTGTTATTTCTCATACGAGACATGTGATGTGTTTCAAGATGAATGGATTTTCATTGATAATGATCAGAAAAGATGTGGAGGTGCCAAGTCAAATACGGCTTCTCAAAATCTAAGAATGCTTTATTCAATCGGAGATTAATGTTGTCATAACTTGAAAGATAATGTAATAAAGCACGAGAATTTTTTTTTAATTTTCAGAACATCATGGTAGATGAGGCTGAAGACTCTATGTTAGGGGGCCAGCAGTCTCAGAAAAAGAGAAATATGGATGCTGCACCAGGGTCACCCGGACCTCGGAAAAGAAAACCAGGTTAGTACAAAGTTTTGTAGATATACTAAAGCTTAGATATAGTAGTACAGATCTTTTTGGAGGCCACTGAGTAACTTTGTCTTGCAAAAATCTTTGTTTTTGGAATTCAATTTATTGATGAGCAATACAAAATATTTTGGTCCGTATACAGATAAAAGGCTAGAAGTCATGTTAAATTGTTTTGAAAGCAGTATGACAGAATGCATCATTGTGAATAACCAGTGGTTTTATATTTTGGTGTTTCTTTTTAAAAAATCACAAAATTATGACTTTTTGAAGCATATTGTGGTTTGGCATGTTCTTTTCTTGTATATATTTGGCATGGAAAAAGGTGAAAAATGTAAAATAAAAAAATGTTATTATAATTTCCAGGGCCGCTACCCAAAGACACTCCAATACGACGTCCAAAAACACCACCAGTTGTTCCCAAAGTGGAAAAGTTGGAGCTGCAACCAATGTCTCCAATAAAAGAGGAATCTGATTCAGAACCAGGTATACTTTTAATCCTTATCTTTTTGAATCTTGTTCCGTTTTACTGAATAAAGACTTGTTTCCTTTGTGAATTTATGTGTGAAAAAGGAAATTGAGGAGCCAGCTGAAGTGAAGATCATAGCTTCATTTTATATAAGTCCAAGCTGACTTAGCTCCATACCAGTGGCATAGACAATATAACTCGAAGGGATAAGTCTTTTATCAATAGTGAAGTATGCCACTTACATGTTATGTCAGTTGACACTGACAAGTATTTTTATCTAGACCTTTTACTGTCATGTTAGTGCTGCTTAAATCATACATGTTTTTTTTACCAGATGTAATTTGAACATTTTTTGGTGAACTGTTTAAAAGTACTTCAATGCACTTACTAACAATAATTTGTGCATCAATTCTTGCATGGTGTGAGCACACCAGTAAACTTAATCTCTGTTTGATATTGAATCTGAAAGTTTTTTTCAGGATTGTTTAAAGTCAGCATAATTTTATTAGCCTTAATGATGCAGGAAGACTTCAGGTGGCCCTTCTTGCATTATGTTAGGTATGGGCGAGCACTAAGTATAACCCTGGCATTGAGCAAGCTGGATAAAGTCCAAAGAATGCAAAATTGGGGCACAAGCAAGCACCTGAGTAAGAACCCCACAGAGGTGAGGGGAAAGTGATTTGTAATCAAGGATGTTTTGTTTTTTTCTTCATATCTTTCTTTGTGTTTTATTTGTAGAATCGCCATCACCCAAAGACTTTGATATGAAACCTGTGATAAAGGAGGAGCCAGTAGAAATAAATCATGTGTATCATAGTGACAGTGACACTTCATTTACCAATCATGTTACAGAATTAAAAAATGGGCGGATTAGTCCAGAATCCCCAACCAATGAGAAAACAGTGATAAATAATAAACATAATAACAAATTGAATCATAAGAAAGACTTGAAAGTGTGGAACCATAATGTGTCATTACGGCAGCTTGTAGTGAAAGAAATTAGGAAACCTGGAAGAAGTAAGTGTAGTTTTGTTTTTGAATTAAAGAAAGTATATTGAAACAATGGTTTAGTTTATACTTATTTATTTTAGTTTGATTGTGTTGGAAGTTATAAGCGTATTGAAACACTTTCAGATCTGCTCCTAGAAGCAAAGTTTGTAAAGAGTGTAAAGATTTTTACTTGCGGAAACCACAGCTTGCTCCCGACTGTATTTAAACCAGGCAACTGGCAATCCTTAGATAACTAGTCTGACTTGTTAAAATATGTTTAAATATGGTAGGATTCAAATTCACAAAACTTTAAGTGAGGGTAAAGTTGTTTATACTTTACCCCTCGTCATTTTATTTGAGAAAGTAGCGGTATAATTCTTCTTCAGAATTAAAATAATTGTGTTTCTTCCCCTTGATTACAGTGAGTTACCAAATTTTATGTGGGATGTAGGAACCAAAATTCAAACATCAAATTAGATAACAACTGTTTTAGGCCTAATTTAACTATTTTGAAATGGACTGTTGTTTACATAAAGTATGTTTACTTGGGTTTTCATTTAGGGAGTCTCAAAGCATTGATTCCTTGACTTTCTATATTTCAGTTTCACCTGTTATTTCTCTTTCAGGATATGACACTCTGTTTGAACATATGAACAAAGTTCAGGGAAGTTATGAAATTAAGTGTGCCTTTGTCCAGGAGATTATTCACGAGGCAGGAAGGTTCAAGAAGAAAGTGCTCATTGACTTGTTGGAAAAGTTCGAAAGATCTTTGACTCAACATTCCAAAACGAATGATAAATTTAGATGATGCTGGCGTGCAATGAATGTGTGTGTGTATATGTGTGATTTTTGTGTGGCAAGTTAACTTAAACCTGTATGTGTATTTATTTACATAGGATGCCTGTTAAAAATCCAGTTATACATCAGTTATACATTAAAATAAACCTCTTAGGACAAGAAATTTACAATGGTTATTTTTAAAAAAAAATGAACTTGCTGTCACAAAAAGAAAAAAGTTACTCTAAAAATTTAGGGAGGAAAAAACTCCCAAGATTGATGAATAATTAATGGTTTTTAAAATATTTGTGGTAAAAAAATCAAAGAACAACAGCAAACGAAACTGTATTTGTTTAACACATGAAGTTCTTGGTAGTTTATTCATATAAGATTTCATCTAAGTTAACAAGAATTGAAGTAGTAAAATTGTTAATTAAATTCCAGCTACACATCAATTAATATTTAGAAATGAAATCTTAACAGTATGTATGTGATGAATGTGATATTTGTAATTGGTCAATTATTTTATCTAAGTGCTTTGAAATTTTTAATGATACTTCCTCTTTAAAAAATGGCATTTGAATTAAAATAGTATTAAATTGATTCATTTTTGTTGCGAAAATTTTAATTTTCTGAGTGCTATAAAAGTGGATGACTTCCTTTGCCACCAGTATGAAGCCTGGACTGGATTCTCTTCCATGCAGTCTGACCAAGCCCTTTACTTTTGGCTGCTAAATTTAAGTGTTTATATGGATATAAAAATCTCATCTTGTCAACAATGGAAAGGGTCCAGTATTTATATCTGAACAATTTCATTATACAAATTTAGATTTGGTTAACCCATAACCTACTTGAACTTAAGTGATTAGCTTTTGCCACCAGTATAGAGCCAGGCCAGCCTACACATTGGTACAGTCTGACCAGCCTGTATACTGTTGGTAGCTCAGTTTTTGTATTTTGGTATTGAAATTCTTTAGACTTTTAAATGGACTGTTCAAATTCAAAGCAGGGCAAATCCATTACAAAAATTTAGTATGTTAAAAGAGTAATTCTCACAGTTTTTTGTTTTCTTTAAAGTATTTCAATTGGTTGTATATGGATACAAGTGTTGAAGTTGACAGAGTAATTTATTGCATAATGCAGTTGTAGATGTTATGAATGTATGACTGTTTGGTAAAAGTGCTAGACTGGTGCAAATTGTTTTATTTGTTAAAAATGATGTGCTTTTTTGCTTGTAAATCCTTGACACAGTCTGTGATATGTTATATTTACTGAACATGCATTATTTGCTATTTAAGATGTTTGTTTTTCTATGTTAAACACTAAAATGCTAAAAAAATTGGTTAATTGTCGGACTTACCCTACCAACTTACCCTCCAAAAAATGTTGATTTTGTCATCATAATTCTGATTTTATATTAATTTGTAAAGATAAATTTTGATTAAAGTAAGTATCTTAGCAAAGTTCTAATTTTGTTGAAAGGTTTTGTATGTGATAAGTAAAATGCATTTAATTTTCTGACTTGTTCATTTTACACGTATACACAATAAAAACATCCTTAACAGGGTTAAATAATTTTTTTTTAACTTTCCCGCCCCTCTTCTTAAATGTTAGGAAATATGGTTGAAGATTTCATGGCATGTAATAGTCAGTTAGTCTTGTTATTCTGATACTTGTGTCTTGGCTAATGATTTTTACAAATTTAACAAAGAGGAAAATATGACAAGCTTTTAATTTCATGTAAACGCTGATAATATCCATTGTTACAAATACTGGTGAAAAAATACAGCAACAACAACAAAATCTGTTTATAGTGAGAAATCCAGAAAATTACAAAGCTTTACATATAGCTTTCATATTTTAAGATAAAATACATAAAGTTAATTAGATTGAAAATAATCACTAGATCATTATTAAAGGAACCCCACTGAAAGCCAAAAACCTAAAAAAATAAAATTTGCATTTGCAAAAACCTCAGTGGAGTCCCTTTAAACTGTTTCAAGTGGTGATGAAGTTTTCTTTTTCAATTTTTATTTAGGTGTGTAATAGTATATAGATACATGCATCAGACCTATTTCATAATGATTAAACGGTGAAAATGAAGAAAACATGAAGAAATAAACCTTTACATTTTTTACGTCTTTTTATTTTGGTCATATCTGTAATTTCATCGTAACTTTTGATTAATGAATTTAAAAACCATATTGAACCACCATTCCACAGACTGTTACACTGGTAGTCATTTCCCTCCATTGATAATGTTAAATAGTGTTCACAGGAAAAAAATATTAAGCAAATGATAGGTCTACATGGCTGTTTGAATAAGTTTGTAGGCTTCCAGTCAGTTACCCCTATTTGGCATATGCTTTAATCTTGCCAGGGACATTTGAATTATTGGATATTAAAGAAAAGCCTATCCAGATAGCATAGATAAGTTAGGTGATGACACTTGGATGCCCACTGAAATACATGTAAAAGGAAAATTTTGGGAACTATCCGAGCAATTCAGTAGAAAATTAAATGCGTGGCCTTACCAAGTTCACAGCCTTGGTTTAATTTCTTGCAATCGATTAACATTGAAATGTTTAGTACTTGATGGGTTTGTCCGAGTAATCGCCACTATCAGAAATAACATACTAAGGGGCTCTGAATCTGCGAGGTTACCTAAATTGTTAATTTACGGTAAAAGTTTAATGCTGTAAGAAATTTATTAGAAACCTCAAAATAAAAAAAAAATCTTTTCATATTGTTGTCAGTTTTAAAGGTAATTTTGAATATATTATTTTTTGTTTTTTTAAGGATGGACCTAAATTTCAAAGAGGTCTTGGAATACCTAGACTAAAGTGAAAGATTTAAAATAGCATTTCAATTGTATTGTTTTTCTTAATATATCTTGCCCATACTTTTTTTATCCTGCATGACATAGAGCAATATTGTGATATTTCATGATTCGTTACACAAATTTCATGAATCATTACACATATGTGAAGTCATGTGACATCTCACAATTCATTAGTTTCATTATATACATCGTTTTTTGCCATGTGATATTTCATGAACCATTACACAATGTTTTGTCATGCCCATGTATCATTGAAGTTTATTATGGTAAAACTACAAAAGGATGATTTTTTTAGCTCACCTGTCACAAAGTGACAGGGTGAGCTTTTGTGATCGCTTTTCGTCCGTCGTCCGTCCGTCGTCCGTCCGTCGTCCGTAAACTTTTACTTTAAATGACATCTCCTCATAAACCACAAGGCCAATTTCATCCAAACTTCACAGGAATGTTCCTTTGGTGGTCACCTTTAAAAATTGTTCAAAGAATTTAATTCCATGCAGAACTCTGGTTGCCATGGCAACCGAAAGAAAAAACTTTAAATATCTTCTTTTAAAAAACCATAAGAGCTAGAGCTTAGATATTTGGCATGAAACATCTTCTAGTGAGTGTCTACCAAGTTTGTTCAAATAAAAGCCCTGGGGTCAAAATTGGCCCCGCCCCGGGGGGTCATTGATTTTCCCTATATGCATATAGTGAAAACTTAAAAAATCTTCTTTTAAAGAACTCAAAGAGCTATGGCTAAGATATTGAGCATCAAACATGTTCTAATAGGTGTCTATCAAGTTTGTTCAAAGAAAAGCCCTGGGGTCAAAATTGGCCCCGCCCCAGGGGGTCATTGATTTTCCCTATATGCATATAGTAAAAACTTAAAAAATCTTCTTTTAAAGAACCAAAAGAGTTAGAGCTAAGATATTTAGCATGAAAAATGTTCTAATAAGTGTCTACCAAGTTTGTTCAAATAAAAGCCCTGGGTCAAAATTGACCCCGCCCGGGGGGGGTCATTGATTTTTCCCTATATATGCATATAGTAAAAACTTAAAAATCTTCTTTTAAAGAACTCAAATAGCTAGAGTTAAGATATTAAGCATGAAACATCTTTTAGTGAGTGTCTACAAAGTTTGTTCAAATAAAAGACCTGGGGTCAAAATTGGCCCTGCCCCGGGGTCATTGATTTTCCTTATATGTGTATAGCAAAAACTTAAAATCTTCTTTGAAAAAACCCAAATAGCTAGAGTTTAGATATTAAGCATGAAACATATTCTAGTAAGTGTCTACAAAGTTTGTTCAAATAAAAACCCTGGGGTCATAACTGGCCCGGCCCCAGGCGTGTCATTGTTTTTAACTATATGTGTATAGTAAAAACTTTAAAAAAATCTTCTTTTAAATAGCCCAATGAGCTAGAGCTTAGATGTTTAGCATGAAACATTTTCTTATGGGTGTCTACCAAGTTTGTGCAAATAAAAGCCCTGGGGGTTGGGGCGGCCTATATACAGGTGAGCGACCTCAGGGCCATCATGGCCCTCTTGTTTTTTGATATAGTGCTATCTGGGAGACAAATGTTTGCTTAACATGCAAGTTTCCTGGCAAAATTTACCCATCCCTGTAACCATATCTATATATAATTGGATCAGTGTACAACAGTGTTGACATTTTCAAGGCCTTGAACGAAACAAAAATCATTAGGGTTGTAGATTGTAAATCACCTGTAAGCATGAAAAGTTTCTAAATATGATCCACAGAATGAGTTATTGAACAGATTAAACATCAAGTCTTGCTTGATATTGTAAAAAAAGAACAAAACAAACTTTCTCGCCCTATGATATATTCCCCTTCAAATACTGATCAATACACTGAAGTCATTTACATATTTTGTAACCAGAAAAGAAAGATTTGCTTACTTTTAATATTTTTGATAATTAAGAAAGCTTTACGAGTGCTTACATTTTGTAACTTATTTACAGATGTATAGATTCTTCGTAATTTTTGAGGCATAGTTTTTTGTTTTTTTTTAAAAAAAACAAAACACTTATTTAAAAGCAATTAAGTACTTTTGTTCTGTTAATACTTTTTGACAAGATATTTAGTCTGCAGTTTCTGAAAGACATTAGATATATGTAGATGTATTCAGTTTTGGGTTACAAAAAAAGTTTTGGGTATAATGAAAAGGAACTTGCTATAGTCCATCAGTACAGTTCACCCTCCACAGAGAGGCCCTCTGTTAGAAGCAAAAACCTCTTTACAACAAGAGTATTCTTATTTCTTCCCATGTAAACATTCACAACAGATTTAACTCCCCTAAAAAGAGTACCATTCAGCAACAGCCTAAACCTGAGTTGCTCTGCAATTGTTGTACATTGTAAATGTAATCTTCAATTGTAGATTAATTGAAAAAAAGGGAATGAAAAGACTCTAGTTGTAATATGTAAAAGTGATGAAAATTTTAAGCGAAGTATTTTGAAACAAAATATATTGTCAAACTTGTGAACAAAGGCTATCCAAAATAAATACAGAGCATGGCCTTTATCAAGATGTGATCTTTATTTGGAGATATCTTTGTTCTAGTTAATCAATGAAGGTGTCTTAAAGAGTAGTCTATATTGACTAAGTGATCTATATTTGGAGTAGGTCTTTGACACATGTTTGACTGTATTTCGTTTATAAAATTATCAGATTTTGAACATTTACAGTTGAAAGGTTTTTTTCAAGCCAAGATGGTGGATATTGTAGTTATACCATGATAAATGGACACTGTGCATCAGTTGAATCTCCAATGTGCAGCTTATTGTTGAAATAAAAAATGAACAAACATTTTATATGCTTGTTTGAGTATTTATTTAGTCACTCTGAAATGTGTGTAGATGAAAAGAAATATACCTAACTTTAAAGACGCTGATAATGAAACATTTTTGGTTTTATCTTGGCGACGGGTTTGTCCACCTAACCAAATTTCCAAGATAACCAACAAGTAATTGCCAATTATGCTGCAAGTGATCAACTAAAGTACTACTAATTCCACATGATTTCTGAATCTGTGGTGATGTAAATGACCATTAGATGTTTAAGATCAAATGTTCAAATTTCACAGAGAAATTGCATGACCTCTAAGGATTGAACCTTCAACCCCTGGATTACAAATCTGATGCTCTCCCTATTGAGTGAAGAGAGCAGTACAGTACTAGTATTTGGGTTTTACTACTAATTTAAGACAAAATTTTTGTTCTGAAACCAGACTGTTAATATATATATACCGGTATTAACTTTTTTTTAACTCTTGAAAGATTGATATTTTCTAGTGGAAAAGAACACTACAATTACTTAACTATTAAATGCAGCTAGTATCACTTGATGAAGCAATATTTCCCCTATAAAGAAGTTATCTCTGATAAAATACAGATCGAAAGAATATTTGTTAAACTGTATGATTGATAAACCCAGTAAATATCCTGTAAACCACAATATACATCATTACCCATCTTCTCTACATCTATATGATACTCCCAACTAATTAAGACTGGCCATAACTCACCAGGGAGGTCCGAGCACAAGTGTTCCTTTACTAAATTATACAGTTATTTTGACTGAGTCAGCAAAAGTCAGAGTCGATAATTAAATTTAAAACATTGCCAACAATAAAGATGTTATATTGGCTGTTTGGGGACTCTATGATTTCCTATAAGCATCTTGGGCATTTCCAATTCTGATAAAAAAAATTTAACTTTAGATTTGTGGCTTTTGCAGATAGCTTGTAAATGACATAAATATTTTGCTTATCATGGGACACTTGCTTTTTCCTGCAAGTTCACCTCTAATTGAATTAGTCTCTTAAATTACACCAACATATACTAGTAACATACATGGGTAGAACTCTTTAACAGAATGTATCCAATTAACAAAGATCAAGGGAAGTCACTAGAATCATACCAGTAAGTTTCTACAACAGCTATGATTATGATATAAATGACGAATTTTAAATTTTCTATTAATTAACAAGTTATCGTCATATTATACAACAGTTTAGTTATTACTGAAAACGTGAACCTTGCCAAATTTGCTTCCTACCCATAATAAGTTATTGTTGAAAGCTACACTTTGAGGTCCTTCTATATCACTTACAAGAGTTTTAATGTATTCACCGTCTTGTGATATAAGGCAAACTCGATTTCCACTCCAATCCGCAATTATCACGTTTCCTATAGCATCGAAACATACACCAAGCGGTTTAAACGGTTCCTGATCATCTTCACCTGTGTAAATGGCTTTCACATACTGTCCAGACAGGTCACACACTGTTACGCACCCATTGCTGTAATCTGATACACATAGAGCATTGGTGTCCGCATGTGCATCAACACGCACAGGGGCCTGTAGATGAAAACCTCTCCCTAAATCATCACCATCTTCAGAAAACACCCTTAAACATCCCTTCTGATTTTCAAACAGAGGCATTGTTGCCCCACGAGTCTCTGTAAAGCAAACATACAACTCGGTTATCATGTCACTTCTCTGTGTGTCACCTATACTCCGTAAGCAAATGCCATGCGGGTCTTGCTGCAACTGTGCTAAAACATCATTCACCTGACCGTATGATGTTACTCTTTTAATACATTTGGTTCTTGGACAGGTTATATAGCCGTCTCCATCAGAGTTGCCAGTAACATCTTCACAAACATCGTCCACATCTACAGATGATACAATAGTCCCTTTTGTGTCCATCAAGGTAACAGTCTTATGGTCAAGGAGAGTGACCCAGGCATTGCTTTGATTTATAGGCCCAATCCCATATACATAGCCTATACCGTCATTAAATGGCACAGTGAACTTAGAAAGCAGTTTCAAATTTCCGTAGAATGATGCTGCAATACTTTGCTCTCTCTGATTCATCAAATCCTGTGGCAATCTTTGATCATACTCCTGTGATTGAGAAATCTGGGGCTTCTTTTCACACACATATCCCATCATCCTTTGTAACTGATCTGGATCAATGGTGCCATAATTAAAATGTTTTAGAGGTTTAACAGGGGGTGTTTCAGTGATATCTCTTGTATTTTCTTCCATTTCATTCAGTCTCTTATATAGAAACGATCCCTTACCAACTACATAGGCTTCATCCTTACTGTTCAATAACTGTAATGCTTCTGTATTTACTTTACTGTATTCTTCAAAATCTCTTCTCAGACTCTCCTTGTCTTTTTCATACTTACTCAAATTGTCTCCATAGTATAATTTTAACTCTTTTTCAACTTTTTGTTTCTCAGTTTCTATTTCTGCATGCATTTTAGAAGCTTGGAAATTAAGTTTTGACAGTTCTTGCTCAAATTGTTGGGGAAAGTTTGTTTCCCTGCTTTCAGAACCATTGACTTTTGACTTTAACATTTCACCAAGACCCACCTGTCTCTGCAGGAGTGATGTCAGTTTTTCTCGTACAATACTAGCTTCTTCAGATACAGGTTTGGTCACATGGTCTTTGTGTTCCATCAACTTACATATCATACAAAGTACTACATCACACTCTTTGCAGACAAACTTGATTTCCTCATTCCTATGCCTCCAACAATACTTCAGTGACCTTGACCTTTCAAGGTCATCAGTGAATAAATCGTCTCTCAGAGGTATAACCTGGTGCCTATGGTAGCGGGATGCCTTCATTTTGATATGAGCATTTGTACAAGCATGGCATAAACTTTCTTGACATTGCATGCATCTATTTATAGCCATTCTACCATCTGAGCAAATGTCACAAGTCTGATTCAATGAAGAGCTTGAAATGTCATCTACATCATAATTATCTTTTGTCAGATCACTAATTACCTCCCCTGGTAAGTTCACAGATGCTTTACAGATGGGGCAGCAATATGTTGACCTTCCAAAAGTGGACACTTGACCTCTAAGACAATCTAAGCAAAATGTATGGAAGCAGGAGGACACAGTCATTTCTTCAAATGTTTTCTGACATATACTGCACACAAGTTTTCTCCCTTTGTTTGAAACAGACAATGCTTCAGCCATATTTAAAATTTATCCTCAGTTTAAAAAATTAGACAAAATATCAAATAAACTTGAATGTCCTTATTCCTCATACACAAATTTTCAGCATGATCTCTGGACAAACTTTGTACAAATATTTAATCCATTTTAATAGTACTATATCCTCAAGCATCTCAGTCCAAATACACTTAAAAATCTTGATCTTTTTTTCCTAACAATATTATCTAAAGATTTGATGGCCTTTAAGCAAAGCAAAATATATGAAAACATTTCAATTTCCCAAAGTATATACTTTCCAAAATTTGAATATATTAAAGGAAGACTATTATAAAATCTATACACTTGATGAATAGATTCAATATATAATATGCATACATATTGATGAATACCCGTACATTTCTATTTGCTGATGTAATTTCCCCTTTTTGAAGATGTATAAACCTCATTACTTCACTATAATAAACATCTTTATCACCGATATTGATTCTGGTATTCATTCAAAAACCGTTTCTCTTTTACATCCACTAATAAATTGTTTGAAGACCATTTCCCCATAATCAAATGGAATAGGATAAATAAGCCATTTCTCAGTGGTGTATGTACTAATATAGGGTTTTTCAAACTGATTTACACATACATGTTCTAGCCTTTGTGATAAACAAGTTTAGTTAATATCATAAAAATTACTGCAGTAGCTTTTGAAGTTCTCTTTTTACATACATTAAATACTAGCATAAATGAGAATTATGCATAAAGCAGCATGCCCCCATATTGATGCTATTTTATAGTCCCTTGCCATACTGGACTAATCCATCATTCAAACTTAAAAAAAAAAAAAATATGTAGGGGGAGTTTCAAAATATGACCCCAATGAATGGTGAAAAAAAAAACGACCATGATCAGACATGTACATGCCAGTTGATCTTAGCCTGCACTGGTGACATATGTTAAATTAGAAGCCCCCCCCAAGAAATCTTAAACATTCTATTAAATAGTTACAGCATGGTCAAAAAAGGCAACTTTTAAAACTAACACAAAGGTGTTTGTTATTAGTTTTCATAAGATTCTTTAAACATTAATTTAATTATCTTTGAATAATTGGCAACAGAAAAAAAGACTAGAGATTTGACAATCTCGATTTTCAGTTACCTGCCTTCTGCTAATTCCAGGACACAGCATATTCTAAAACCATGCAATCTTTAAAATAAACACTATGAAACAGTTTTTTCATTCTGTCCATATGAAAACTGTATCAAACGTCTAACTAAGTGATTAGTATTTCCCATTAGTATACTCGTCAGACAAGCCTGGTCATTAGTGCAGTCAGGTCTGCCTATTATATAATATGCTGGTTGAAATCCCTTTAAATTCAAATGAACTGTTCTAAATCCAAAGCAGGGAGAATCCATTACACAAATTCAACTGATTAAGGGGTAAGAAAACTAGAAAAAGCCCGAGGATCTCTGGAGAACCTGATATACTGGTGACTTAAGTAAAGAATTTTGACGTGGTCTTAAAATGGCCTGTATAATAGGATGGTGTTTCATAGAAAGTGAGTCTAAAGTCCTAGGACATTAGTAATCCACTTAAGGATTGCATATGTTTGCAATGAAAAACATTTTATCTTGTAACTTAGGATCAATTTATTCTCCTGAAAAAGTTAAGATATGTTAATGTAGATCTGCATTATAAGCTAAGTTTATAACATGAAAGACAGGAATAAATAAATTAAGAAATAAAACATTATCTTTAAAACGAAACTCAACCATGAACTTTCTTTATGAAACCCAGCCTAGGGGAGTAAATATAGTGAAAAAGATTATGTGATGCTTAATGTGAAAAACACTTATAACTTTGATAGTTATCTCCTCCTTTTTTGTAAAGGAAACCAAAAACAGAAATATCATTTTTTGCCTTTAAGTTAGTCAGTAATGGATACATGCGCATTCTTTTGTATACAGAAAAGTTAAATCAATAAACAAACCAGGGTTATATTTTACCATCATTTTATTTCCTCTGTAAATAAGAAACTGAGCACGATTCACACATAAATCAAATAAATAAATCAAACACAGTAAAAATACATACAACATAGAACAAAATATAGTATAAAATGTAAAACTATTAATACACCATATGAATTTAAATCTAATTTTAATTTTAAATAAACCACAATGTCAATATAATAATTAATCAAATATATATTATGCACAATATTTATTTTATATAAGAGCCTTAAGAAATTTGGCTTCACAAATATATAAACCCAATAATTGAAAGTGTTGTGACTGAAATAAAAAATAAATATTTATGTACATTTAACCCTCGACCGGCTTGGATCAAGTTTTAAGCCTTTGCCTCCAGAATAGCGCTAGACTAACTAGCATATCTGTGCAGTCTAGCAATTGTTAGCTCAAATTTGGTGTTTTGAAATTGAACTTTCTTAAAATTAAATATGAAACGACTGCTCTGTTTTGTTTGGTTGGTTTTAGCCCATCAACACAATCCAAAGCATGGTAAATGCATTTCAACAGGTATGGTGTTAAAGCAGCATGCCTCCAGATTCATGCTTATTTTCATGAAAATTTTGAAAATGTATTTGAATGTGTAATATTGTGAATTAACCAAAAGGAAGCAGTTTTTTACACATTAGCAATGGCACTTATAAACCATGTTAATTACCAAATAGTGGTCAAAATATGCATAAATAGCCTTTACTGTGTTAGCAACGCAGTAGAAATATAGTTGTTAATACTGAAAAATCAGTCATTAATTGGGCATATATTACTCGAATTTTGAAACTTTTTTACTTTTCCTTACATCTTAGTACATTTTTCTCAAGTTTAATTTCATTGAAATATTTTGACTCCTCTGGAGGCATGTAGCTTTAAGACATAATCTTATTTTATCAAAATCACTTTCTACACCAGTCCTCCACCCCTGGCATGGTTAATTTATTCCTTAGATTAACACTTTCTTAAACATATAAATTAAGAGGAAATAAATTTAAGGTTATAGCATGTTTACAAATTATGGGTGCAACTATATTTTACATGATGATGAGTCACTGATGTATCACTACATAGACTATGGGTGATAAAGTAGGGTATGATTTAAAAAAAAAAATATTTTGAATTATAAACTAAAAAAAACATTGAGGTGGAAAAACCTTTACACTAAAAATTCAGTGATTTTAGGATAACGTTCACACAGAATGTATATGATCATACTTTTAAATTAAAGAGTTAAACTTAAAATGTGATAATTTGTCTTACCCTTTTAAAAATTGAAACTCAACATTTTTTTATGACTATTTAATGATAAGTAATGGTAGTTTTAGATTAAAATTCATTACAACATGATTGAGCACAAAAGAAACTTTTTATTTTTACTTTAATACTGTATAATTTCTAATAAAAATCCCACAAGACAGTAGCAGTTTACTATAATTCCCCCCAAAAATACCATAATTTTTATGCCCCCACAATGTGGGAGCATATAGCGTTGCACTTGTCCGTCCGTCCGTCCGTCATTCCGTCAGTCCGTCCCGAAATCTTGTGAACGCAACTCCTCTTAAACCGGATGGCAGATTTTGCTTAAACTTACAGGGATGAACAACCTTAATGTATAGATGGTAGTAAAGGAAGGAATTTTCGCTGCAACCAAATTTAACAGAATTATGGCCCTTTGTTGATTTTTTCACTAGATACTATGCAGAAATTTTGTGAACGCAACTCCTCTTAAACCGGATGGCAGATTTTGCTTAAACTTACAGGGATGAACAACCTTAAGGTGTAGATGGTAGTAAAGGAAGGAATTTTTGCTGCGACCAAATTTAACAGAATTATGGCCCTTTGTTGATTTTTTCACTATATACTATGTAGAAATTTTGTGAACGCAACTCCTCTTAAACCGGATGGCAGATTTTGCTTAAATTTACAGGGATGAACAACCTTAAGGTGTAGATGTTAGTAAAGGAAGGAATTTTTGCTGCGACCAAATTTTACAGAATTATGGCCCTTTGTTGATTTTGTCACTATATACTATGTAGAAATTTTGTGAATGCAACTCCTCTTAAACCGGATTGCAGATTTTGCTTAAACTTCCAGGGATGAACAACCTTAATGTGTAGATGGTAGTAAAGGAAGGAATTTTTGCTGCGACCAAATTTAACAGAATTATGGCCCTTTGTTGATTTTTTCACTCTATACTATGTAGAAATTTTGTGAACGCAACTCCTCTTAAACCGGATGGCAGATTTTGCTTAAACTTACAGGGATGAACAACCTTAAGGTGTAGATGGTAGTAAAGGAAGGAATTTTTGCTGCGACCAACTTTTACAGAATTATGGCCCTTTGTTGATTTTTTCACTATATACTACATGTTGTAGAAATTTTGTGAATGCAACTCCTCTTAAACCGGATTGCAGATTTTGCTTTAACTTCCAGGGATGAACAACCTTAATGTGTAGATGGTAGTAAAGGAAGGAATTTTTGCTGCAACCAAATTTAACAGAATTATGGCACTTTGTTGATTTTTTCATTATATACTACATAGAAATTTTGTGAACGCAACTCCTCTTAAACCGGATGGCAGATTTTGCTTAAACTTCCAGGGATTAACAACCTTAATGTGTAGATCGTAGTAAAGGAAGGATTTTTTGCTGCGACCAAATTTAACAGAATTATGGCCCTTTGTTGATTTTTAGTTTTCAACTTGTGGCACATGTAGTCCAAAAAATATTTGACCTAGAGTCATAAGATTGACAGAACAGTGGCGTGTGGAGGCATCAGTGTCCTATGGACACATTTCTAGTTAACACAGCAGCTGCTTCTGTTGTATATACAGTAACCAAGCAAGCAGAAAAAAAACCCCACAAATCAGTAAACATTTAGTATCACTTTATTTTGAAGAATTTTTTTTTTTGGTACTTTAATGACCCCTGAAAAATGTAACAGCACCTCAGGAGCTTTTATATGAGAATACATGGAACCTAATAATATACATAATGTACAGTAAACTTCACTTATAGCGAACACGGTTATAGCTAGCGAACTTCCGGTTATAAGGAACAATTTTTTTTGGCCCGAATTTTGCCCTTCTTTATTTCATATAAAATATACGGTTACAGCGAACTCGGTTATAAGGAATTATTGCTTATAAGGAACTCATTTCTTAGTCCCAATTTAGTTACAAGTACAGAAAATTACACTTTTATAATGAACTCTAAAATATTGGCTATCCGTAAATAGATCCCGCATTTTCAACTTTCGTTTTCATAATGGCACGGATAAAAACTCGCCAGATGTACCTTTTATTGTTGAATGTACTTCTATAGTAAACAGCTGTAAAAATGAATTTTTATAGCAGTACATAATAGTTTTCTATATAGAATATTTTAGCACGAGTTTTTGTAACCAAGAAAAA